TAATATTGGTTGGTTTTGTTAAAAGTGTAAGGCAAGAGATTCTCAAAAAATATTGGAGAAATTATGACGAGCCACTTCGGAAAGTGCTGCAAATCACAGACTGAAATGAAACACAAGTTTTCACACTCACTGCGAGGGCTGATAATGATGTATCGTTTCAATTTAACGTCTTGTCACACTGAAAATGTGCTGTGAAAATCTGTGGTCCTGAAGGTGTTCCTCACTCAACAGTGTTGCCAGATTGGGCGGGTTCCCGGGTCTAGCGCGATAACTTGTAGCTGTATATTCAAGTGATTCAAGTGGCATAAACATACAGTAAGTCGTATCTACGGTAAAGAGTGAGATAGTGAGTCTAAATTCTGCGTTATGTTCTACAATGTGTACTTCACAAAAGACGTACTGTAGTTCTGTCTGAAGTTAAAGCGCGTTCTTGTTGTTATATTTATGTTGTCGGATTATCGTACTGTACGTATCAACGCATTACACATTTTGGCTGTGGTGTGTGCTTTAATGTGTGTGAAATATCTTCTAATTACATTGCTTATTCCAATCACTTATAATGGTCACTTTTTGCACTGAAATTGGCTTATTCTTGATGCAAAATGATTTTCCAAGGGTTAAAGTCATCTGTTAATCTCTTTGATTGCCGTTTTGCTATTCCACCTGGACATATTACTCATATTTGCTAATTCTCTTTAATTTATTGCCCTGTTTTGATCCCTTTTCCTTTTTTTTATTTTTATGGAAAAACATTTTGTTTTAAGGAGATAAAAATGGTGCTTATCAACCTTGATTGACATGGCAACAAAATTATATCACCCTATAATTCACCCTATTTTCTAAATGCATGTTATAGATTTTCCTTTGTTCCTAATGTTTCCTTAAAGCTACAATATGTAATTGTTTTCGCCGCTAGGGTTCGCTAACCTCCTAATAAAGGCGTAGGTTGATGACGCAGTGAAAAGCGGAATCATGGATCTTGTTGTCAAGCTGAAGGATCTAATAATGTTTATGGATGAGTGAATACAGTGATGTTTTTATCATGACTGTGGCATAAAGTAGGGCGCGAGTGCTAATGAGAGACAGATCTCAGCGCCACACGCGAGTCCCGCGGTTATAAAGGAATAAGGACATTTCATTCTACCGAACTAACTTCCCCACAAGTCCTGAATTTCTCACACAGGTCAGTTTATTAGACGAGCGAAGCGTGTGAGGGAACGCAGCACTGTTTCACCTGCTCTACACTATCACACTAAACACATTTGAGTGTGTTAAAGTTATAATGTTATTCTATGTGTTAGTTTGATTGCTATATGAGGCTAGCAATAAGCTAGATCAACATTAAAATAACATACTGATCATATTCTAACATTTCATCAGGTTGACCTGTATAACATTGATTAGTTTTATGTACATTTGCTCAGCTGTCTAATAAAGCACATGCAAGAGCGGCGTCTCTGTGGAGTCTAAGTTAGCCCCGGACGCTAGCTCTCAGCATCTCGAAAACGCCACACCGATATTGATCCTCGTTTTAGTTCTCCTTTTGTCCCAAAGTCTGCTTGCCATGATCCATAATGTTTGAACGAAACAACAACAGCGTGAGCGAGCCGCTAGACGTAACGCAGTTGTCCACGTCTGTCGCCATGGTTACTACGGCGGCACTAGCGGAAACCAGGGATTACGCGGATATTACGTCAGTGACAGGCGACAAGTGAACAGCGACGCGCCATTATTTAAAATTGTGAATTTCTCTGAAATTAAAAATCTTTGGGAACTTTTGGGATATTGTAAGTACACAACTGCAGGAAATATATCACAATGTACAAGTGATTTTTGGATATATTAGTACAAAAATCGTACATATTGTACCTTTAAGGCGAGACAATACGGGAAAAAACTGTGTTTCTGTCAATTATGAGATGTTGGCCATAAAGTGTTTTTTTTTTTTTTCAGACTAGTGGACAGAAAACATCCAAAACACACTTTTAACTGTATCTTTTAGAGCACTTTATCTATTTGCGTCTGTAGATTTCAATTACAGTGTATATCTTTAAAGGCCGTTTTCTCAAAAATGAGTTTTTCTTCCTACATTGAGCCAGAAATCTCATTATTTTGGCAGTTAAAGTGTTGGGGCTTTGGGTCATTTTGTTACAAAACACGAGGGAAAGATGGAGATAAAAATGGTGCTTATCAACCTTGATTGACATGGCAATAAAATGATATCACATTATTTTGGCAGTTAAAGTTGTGGGCGTGTTTTGCTGAGCTTTTGTGCTGCAAATCACCGTCCCAATCTGGCAACACTGCTAGTCAACACTGGTGTTCAGTACCAGCGCCTCCATCAGTGGTTCAGCAGGACTTCATGCAGGGCAGCAAATGCAGAGGAACCGGCTGATCATCCCGAACCCATCAGACCCGCTGCGATCCGACTCCACAACACATCAACTTAATCAACAATTATAAGTTAACGGTGTTTACCATTCGGCTCGGGTTCCCACCTCATCCGGCTATAGCCTTTACACATGCCAACCTTACGTTTTTGTGTGGTTTTGCCCTGTGAAGCGGATCCACCGATGCGTCTGGATGTCACAGGTCGGCCTTTAAACCCACTGAACGAACCCCTCTGGGTCCTTATTACGGTCCCCGGGGGCCATTAACAGCCTCCCCTTCATCACGGCTCCTCGCGCTGTTAAGTGCTAATCTAACGCGTATTAAAGCGCTCTCGTTAAAGACGTCTGAGTGAACACTTTACACACAGCTACTTAAAGCTTCTATTGTTTACTCGAAGCTGCACTGAAAAGTGGTTTGATGTTGATACACAATCAGGGCTGGTTTAATCTGGATGTAAGTGCAGCGTTGGCCGATCGGGTCACGACGAGGACGCGGCCTGAAAATTGGGAGAAAAGCCTCTCTGATTTATTCGCCGTCTGCTTTTGAGCGAATTTCAAAATAAAGTGTATGTAACCCGTCATTATTCTGCTGTGCTGGAGTGGGATGTGAGTGGATGAAAATTGATCCAGAGAATTGAAAAAGGGGGTTAAGTGTTTTTGCCCTTATCGACGGCACAACAGAACGGCTGTTGTATGAAACACTCGTTCGTCCCCCATTAGCAGATGAGACGGTGTTATTTGAGGCCCGCATTGTGCTGAACACAAACACAAAGATGTTTGAGAGGCGATAATGGCCCGGCGAAGAATAAAGATTTTAACTCTGCAGATCATTTAAAGCCATCACACACGCTCGTGGTGAAATGGTGTAAAACAACCCGCGCGTGTCTGGAATCAATCGTCTTTGTTGTAGTTCATCTCTGCGCTCGTATGTTTTTATTTAATAACATTAACAAAGTTGGCAACTCTTTACAATAAGGTTAGCACCTTAGTTAACACGAACTAAGAATGAACAATACTTCTACAGCTCTTATTAATATTAATTTCAACATTTACTAATACGTCATTAAAATCAAAGGTTGTATTTGTTAACATTAGTTAATGCACTGTGAACTAACATGAACAGCTGTATTTTTATTAACTAACATTAATAAAGATTAATAAATACTGCAACAAATGTATTGCTATGGTTAGTTAATGTTAGTTAATACATTAACTAATGTTAACTAATGAACCTTATTGTAAACCACACTATAACAAATGTAATCTAATATTAACCAATGGCACCATATTGTAAAGTGTTACCAGTGACTTCAATCCCATTGGATGGAGTGAAGGAAAGTTTCCGAACAGATGCAGATCTATGGATACTTTTAACATTTCCGTGGTTCTCAGAAGTAGAAGTCATCATAGTTGTGAACCCAAACTACAACAAATGACCAATCACATGACCAATTTTCTGTTGTTTCTGCTGGTTTAACCCTCCTTGTGCCTTATTAGGGGGCGATCTGAGCACATAGACAGCACTCCTCATACACACTGATGCGAAGCACACAAGACTCAATGCTCATTCCAGTGGAGTTTGACTTTAAAATGTTGTCAATGAACCTAATGAAGCATAACAATACACAACACACTCAATTTCTAATTGGATTAAGCTATTTGTTATTGATACTGCACTGACACTATCAGATGAGAATTTGAAAGATATTTCGCTGATTAATGACACTATTGTCTTCTCTAGAACTCAATTTGAATTAGTCTCATATTTGATGAAGTTTTCATCATTGGTTCTGTGAAGCTGCTTTGAAACAATCTGTACTGGATAAAGAGCTGTAGAAATAAAGTTGACCTTACATTGAATCAAATGTATTTATAATCCATAAGTCTCTGGAGTTTATTGGGATTGTTTTGTGAATTTTACGTTTACTATTATGAAAAATGTGCAAAAATACTATTTTCAATTTTTATATGAAATATATATTTTCGAAAAATGTTTTACTCTAAAACTGTGAGAAAATCAAAGCCATACATCTAAACAAGTTGTGTTCAAAATGTGAGGCTGATATCTCAGTAAATGAGCGTTCAGTGAGAGTGTGTTCGGCTGCAGTACCAAACGCTTCCACTAGAGGAAACTCGTCACATTCATTTCCAATGCGCTCATTTCTGACCGCGAGGAGCTCAAGTGTGACTATTTTATTCAGGACCATTACACCTGTTCGAATCATGTCCATGATTTGTGTGTGTGTGTGTGTGTGTCTTCACACAGCAAGTGCCAAAACCTTTACCAAGTTTCGTACCATTCCGATGAAGAAAAAAAATCCACAGAAAAACAAATGTCCAAAATGAGCGAAGAGCATCAGAGAGTTAAAACTGGATTAAACTATTTTTATTGATACTGCACTGACACTATCAGATGAGAATATTTAGCTGATTAATGGCACTATTGTCTTCTCTAGAACTCAATCTGAATGAGTCTCATATCTGATGAAGTTTTCATCACTGGTTCTGTTTATCACTGTGAAGCTGCTTTGAAACAATCAGTACTGTATAAAGAGCCTTATATTTATAATCCGTAAGAGTTTATTGTGATTGTTGTGTGTGTGTCCACAGGAGGCCAGTGATGGTGTGGCGCAGGTGGAGGTCAGTGTCGTGGCCGTCCAGTCTTTACCCAGAGGAGCCGCGGTGGAGCTCCATGTGATCGCAGTGCAGGACCGTCCCGCGGGCCGGGCGTCCCATCGCAGCGTCTCACGGGTCCCGGGCGGCTCCGTCGAGTGCCGCCTGCTCCAGTCCAGCTGCGCTCGATACGCCTCCCTGTCTCTGAGCCTGTGTTTCAGCGAGGCACACGCGCCGGCAGCACAGACCCTCACAGAGGCACTGCTGTCCTCATACCAGAGCGCTGTTCAGAAGACTGAGAATCTCTCGGCTCTGTGTGCCAGGGTTTTCTATAAGAGCCACGACATGTTCGGCACAGAGATCGCCACAGGTACGGCTCACCTCCAGAATTATTTCGATTGTTAAAAAACTGTGTACAACTTTAGTCTTGCGGGTTAATTTCACCTGTATTGGTTTCCATGCAATTTGCAAAAGTCAACCGTATGAAAAACACTAAAGATTGTACATTATCTGTACTCAGGGCCATCCATAAGGGGGGATAAAGGGGAACGTTTTCTGGGGCCCAGCCGATAGGGGGGGCCCATGCAGTCCAGCAATAATTATGTTCATCCTAAATATAAGCAAATGTTATCATATTTATTTTTAACCAAAATAGCGCCATTTATTGTTGAAAGTGAGAAAAAAATGCATTTTATTTAATGTTGCTTGAGTAAAATGTAGCCTGTGTCATAATGAAACACCCCTCTCCTGAAAATGGTCTGAGTAGGCTATTTTTTGTTGTATGTAACGCAAAGTCAAAACGCCAGTGCTTCACGCCAGTTCGCGGTCAGCAGCGCAAGTGAGTAACACACGATGGAGTGCGCGAATTGACACGGTAAGACCATAGACAGTAAAAGAAAAAGTAAGACCTATTGCTCACCATCTCCCCAGTGTGATTGAAGCAATCGATTGCCTAAAATCGTCCTGTAAATTATCAAATGAGGCCTTATCAGATGCGCGAGGACTGAGAGAATATTTCATGTCATTTACAGCAGTTGTCATGTGCACTGTCCGGCTAAAACTACTACAACATATCGAAGATAGGATGGAATTAGCTTCTGCAGAGTGGCAGCCTTATGGTGTGTTCACACCGAACGCGAATTTAATTACTTGCGCGAGTAGATTACATACAAAGTCAATGCAAAGACGCGAATAGACGCATCATTCGCGCCGGGCGTTGAGAATGACGCGAATTGGGCGACGCGTTTGCCGCGAACGTCTTCTGCGCAAGTTGAAAAATTTAAACTCGAGCGAATGTTCAAGTGTCTAACTAGACGCGATAGACGCGTATTTGACGCTCTATTCGCCTTCGGTGTGAACACACCATTAGATATTGGACAGGTCGCGGGAATGGGGTTGTTTCATGACAATTTTCTTCTTTTTTTTTCATTGGTTGTTGCGTTAAATCGTACCCAGATACAATAGTGCTATTTTCTGATTGGCTTTTGTGTAGCTCGACTAACAACACAGGGGAGACGTGCTTGATCCCTGTCGGGTCCAAAGTGAGAGCGGCGCGGCCAGAGACATTTTGGGCGCTGCGGCATATTAAATATAATATAAATCGTTTTTCCGCGTGAGAAATACAATGTGTGGCGGGAGTGCGTGACAAAAGACCGAAATTAGTGACTGTCCAGCTCAATGCGTGACACTTGAGAGCCCTGGGTGTGTGTGTGTGTGTGTAACTATACACACACACCCCATCACTGAGTCTCTCTCAGTTAAATGTATGTGTTATAGGAGAGAGAGAGCACAGGCATGATATGAGTAGCCCAGGGCCGACCCGTGGCATAGGCAGTATAGGCAAATGCTAAGGGCGCAAGCGCCTTAAACCCTAGGGGGGGCGCCAGAGCCGCGTAAGGAACTTTCCGCTTTTATTGTACTTCATTAACACTGCAACGAGTGGAGCAATTACATAAGCCTGTCAGTGGCGCAAAAAGTGGGTATACCGGTATGTGTAGCGGAGTAGGCGCCCTCATAAGATTTCATCATAGAATTTTGACAGGGGACCCCCCTCCAATAATATCGCGAGCGGGCGCGGGCGCCGTGAGCGCTGAGCGAACAGGCACGAGTAGTGAGTTGTCGTCGAAAAAGATAGATAAAGCAAAAAAGCGGCCGGGGGCTAAAATAGAAATAGCCAAAATGGTTTTGTTTTGCTTAATCGGCGGCGCTGGGTTAGTGCTGGTGTAATGCATTGGTAAAAAAAAAAGCTTTTTTTCTGTCACCGCATGAAACGCGTAGATCAGCGGCCCATTGGTTGGTTTCTTGATTGACACTGGGCTGGCCCAATCACATCTTTAATGTGAAGTACAGAAAAATACTCTTTCCAGTATAGAAATTAGTACAAAACTTATGAAAGTTTCCTTTATTTTTCAGTGCATTGTTTTACAATGAGTATTACCATGGGATTAATATTATAACTATTATTATGTAATGTAGACAGACACTAACTAAAAGAGGTTTGAATTTTTCTTTGTTCAATTTGAACACTGAATATGGGTTGGAGCTTTTAATTTTGAACTCTCAAAGTGCACCAGATTGATGAATTTAACATTAAAATGCACAAAATTTTCTTACGGGGGATCATGCCCCCGTACCCCCCTAGCCTTGTAGCAGCCTAATGGATTAGTAATAATAGTAGTGGTGGTAGTAATTGTAATTTATCTACTACAAGTTACATGGTCAGATAATATGTATTTAAACAATGCAACTATGTAGGATGATTGAAATATCCTTGAACGTTCTTTTTTAGCATTTGTATAAACAATTTATTACAGTTCAAGTCATAATTTGCTTGTTGAAGTTTTGGAGTGACTGTAAGAGCATTTTTGTTTAGTTAAATAAATACTCATTATTTTTAAAGAAAATCAATCTCGCCTAGGGCAACCTAAGGGCTAGAGCCGGCCCTGGAGTAGCCTATTGCAGATTTGGGGAGGGCCCATTCACTGGCCCATTTCAGGGGCCCAGTCATTTCTGTGGGCGGGCCTGTCTGTACTTACTGTAAGTACTGTACTTTCTCTTGTCTGTTTCTCAAACCCTTGTAAGGGTAGAATGAGTTTCTCACACGTCTTTTCAGTGCTGCAACAGTCTAGTAATTGAGATCCCAAAAAAACTAACGTGGAGGCGGCCATTGCTCCCATGAGAGAGCTTGGTGTTCACATCCACTATCTCGATGACTGGCTGATACCAGCTCAATCTCTGGAGCAGTTGTGCGAGCACAGGGACCTGGTGCTCCGGCATCTCAGCCAGTTCGATCTTCGGGTCAACTGGGAAAAGAGCAAACTCGCACCCGTGCAGAGGATCTCTTTTCACGGTATGGAGCTGGACTCGGCCCACCAGACGGCACGTCTCACAGAGAAATGTGTCCGGTCAGTGTTAAACTGCTTGAATACTGTCAAGAGCAGAACAGTGGTCCCACTAAAAGCCCCTCCCTGGCCCATTCCTCTCAGGGAGGACCTCCTCTCTCAGGGACGGCGCACCGGATGGCACCCGCGTCCGGACCTCTGAAAACTCCATGTCTGGTTCCTGGACGGGACGCGGAGGTTCTAGGTGATCTACCACAAGCTGTCTTAGAGACCATCCCTTCTGCAAGAGCACCCTCTATGAGGCACGCTTACGCTCTGAAGTGGAACCTGTTCGTTGAGTGGTGTTCTTCACACCGAGAAGACCCCTGAAGATGTTCGATCAGAGCTGTGCTTTCCTTTCTGCAAGATAGGTTGTCTCGCTCCACCCTCAAAGTATATGTTGCCTCTATTGCCACACATCATCACGATGCAGTTGATGTAAGATCCGTGGGGAAGCACGACCTGATTGTCAGGTTCCTGAGGGGCGCGAGGAGACTGAATCCGCCTTGCGCCCCCTCTATACCCTCTTGGGACTTATCTCTGGTGCTGGCGGCACTGCAGAGACCTCCCTTTGAGCCTTTGCAGGCAGCAGAGTTAAAAGTCCTGTCTATAAAAACAGTTCTCCTGCTTGCTTTGGCCTCCATCAAGAGGGTAGGGGACCTGAACGCATTTTCGTTCAACGAAGCATGCCTGGAATCCGGGCCGGCTGACACTCTTGTCATCCACTCCCTTTCGGGACCAGGTGGTGAACCTGCAACCAGAGGAGGCAGACCCAGCTCTGGCTTTCCTCTGTCCCGTCTGCGCCCTGCACCTGTACGTGGACAGAACACACAGCCTCAGGACCTCAGATCAGCTCTTCGTCTGTTACGGAGGCCAGCAGAAGGGAAAGGCTGTCTCCAAGCAGAGGTTGGCACACTGGATAGTGGATGCCATCGTTTTGGCGCACCAATCCCAAGACGCACCATGCCCCCCCGGGCCGGTTGTGAGCCCACTCCACTCGGAGTGTGGCTTCTTCCTGGGCGTTGGCACAGGGTGCGTCGCTGACAGACATCTGTACATCTGCGGGCCGGGCGACACCTAACACGTTCCTTATATTCTACAGCCTTCGTGTCGAGCTGGTAGCCTGTCTGTGTGAGGTAAAAGGACACAAGTTGATGTAGCTCTGCCATCTACGCCGGGCTACATCAACTTGTGTCCTTTTACCTCACACACACACGCACTGAAAATTTCACAAACTTTTAGCCTTTTATGTTCAAACCGGAGTCAGAAAGATGGAGAGACTCAAGAAGAAGTGACAACATGTAGAATGGTTAGTTGATGAATTTATGTAGCTGATGTGTAGTTATCTTCTAGTCATTTATTAGCATATTCTGTCATGATAATCTATAAATGGTGTTCCCGGGGGCGGGTTTATGTAAATTTTAGGGTTTGTGATGTCACTAACCTGTGAAGAAGCTCTTGTAGTTCCTACCAGACGTTTGTTGTAGTCCTTAAAAAGTGATTTCTTTAAAAGAAAAGATCTCCCTTTGCTTTGAACTGCGAGCATTGAAACTTTGCAGATGTTGTTTATGCTCAAACAGACACATTACACACTAACTAAAGTTAGAAAAGTGAAATCATAATCAACCGCCGCTTTAACCGAACTTCCAAGCGTGCTGCGTTTCAACTTTTATTGCCAAGGAATTATTTTTCATTTTAATCTACTTTAACTTGATGTACTAAAATGTAATAAAAATAAATAAAAACTAAAACTAAAACCATGAAAAAAACATATTTGTTACCTAATAATCATTACCCGAAAAAAGCCAGTTGACAAAGACATAAAACCCACAAAATTTAAATTAAAATGGAAACCGTAAAATTAAAGAGAAGAATACAGTTTTATTGTATTATTGTTCAGAAGGCATCTAAACATGTGTTTTATTTGACTATTACAGATCATTCTACTGAAGTGAAACTGAAATCATTTAAATATGTTTTCAGACAGAAACTCTTCCAAATGTCACGAGTCATAATTCATCAGCAGATCATAATCAGACCTGACACAGCTAACTGCGCATCTTCCGTTGCAGAGGTTTCTTTCTCCAAAGCCTGCTGTGGTCTTTGGGTCCGCCATGAGCCGACGGTGTAGCATATGTTCAGACACATTTATCGAGCTGTCAGTGTGTTCCTGATGCCCTCGGAGAGAGCCCAGAGCGTCTTCACGGGTCACAGACCAACAATATCACAGCAGATATGAAGACATTCGCCCTCCAACCCTTTCCGTGGGACGGGGCACACGTTCGCTTCACAAAAGCCTGAATCTCCTGTCGTGTCTCCTGATATCCTCTCGTGACAGATGCATGTTTGGCTTCTGGACATTCTGGAAACATGAACTCAGAATCTCAGAAACATCTCGTCTGACCGGAGATCAGGTTGATGTTGTCCAGTGATCATCGGCTCCTGATGTCTTTTAGACGCATTGTTCCTCAACATAAATTTACATGCACACAGATGTGCTGATAACTACCAAAAATCTGTTTTTTGAAACGCTAGTTATACCAGTTTGCATGCAAACCAGTAACCCGCTAACACAAAGAAAACCGCATTTACAAGACTTCCCATTCCTGTATATTATTCTAAGGCTGTCAAAATGACTGAAAAGCTAAATTCAAAGTTCTTTCTTATATAGTGGCAAAATTCACATTATATTCAAATTCTTTAGGCAATTCTCAATGTTACAGGGACAAAAGTACTGCATTGTCTCCACAAGAGGGCGCAAGCATGCGCAATAACCAAATATACACTCACCGGCCACTTTATTAGGTACCCCATGCTAGTAACGGGTTGGACCCCCTTTTGCCTTCAGAACTGCCTCAATTCTTCGTGGCATAGATTCAACAAGGTGCTGGAAGCATTCCTCAGGGAGTTTGGTCCATATTGACATGATGGCATCACACAGTTGCCGCAGATTTGTCGGCTGCACATCCATGATGCGAATCTCCCGTTCCACCACATCCCAAAGATGCTCTATTGGGTTGAGATCTGGTGACTGTGGAGGCCATTTTAGTACAGTGAACTCATTGTCATGTTCAAGAAACCAATTTGAAATGATTAGAGTTTTGTGACATGGTGGAAGTAGCCATCAGAGGATGGGTACATGGTGGCCATAAAGGGATGGACATGGTCAGAAACAATGCTCAGGTAGGCCGTGGCATTTAAACGATGCCCAATTGGCACTAAGGGGCCTAAAGTGTGCCAGGAAAACATCCCCCACACCATTACACCACCACCACCAGCCTGCACAGTGGTAACAAGGCATGATGGTTCCATGTTCTCATTCTGTTTACGCCAAATTCTGACTCTAACATCTGAATGTCTCAACAGAAATCGAGACTCATCAGACCAGGCAACATTTTTCCAGTCTTCAACTGTTCAATTTTGGTGAGCTCTTGCAAATTGTAGCCTCTTTTTCCTATTTGTAGTGGAGATGAGTGGTACCCGGTGGAGTCTTCTGCTGTTGTAGCCCATCCGCCTCAAGGTTGTGCGTGTTGTGGCTTCACAAATGCTTTGCTGCATACCTCGGTTGTAACGAGTGGTTATTTCAGTCACTGTTGCCCTTCTATCAGCTCGAACCAGTCTGGCCATTCTCCTCTGACCTCTGGCATCAACAAGGCATTTCCGCCCACAGAACTGCCGCTAACTGGATGTTTTTTCTTTTTCGGACCATTCTCTGTAAACCCTAGAGATGGTTGTGCGTGAAAATCCCAGTAGATTAGCAGTTTCTGAAATACTCAGACCAGCCCTTCTGGCACCAACAATCATGCCACGTTCAAAGTCACTCAAATCAACTTTCTTCCCCATACTGATGCTCGGTTTGAACTGCAGGAGATTGTCTTGACCATGTCTACATGCCTAAATGCACTGAGTTGCCGCCATGTGATTGGCTGCTTAGAAATTAAGTGTTAACGAGCAGTTGGACAGGTGTACCTAATAAAGTGGCCGGTGAGTGTAAACCAAATCAAGCATCGCATCTTTTATTGAAATTAAATGACATTCACTTTTTAAAGTGCATTAACTTTTGAAACAATTGTACTTCAATAAAATACAATTTCCTTAATGTGCATGCAAGGAAAAGTAGGATACTAGTGCATAAAACTGTGTAAGTGCATCAGTAACCTGAGAAAACACACTTCAACAGACGAGTAATGAACTACATACTCTCAGTGCTGAGCGCTCTCTGTCGACAGTGTTTCAGCTGATGAACACACACTCAGCTGATGAACACACACTCAGCTCTGACCGATGTGCAGGTTTGGTCAAGTATGTCTTTGCATGCTTTTTGCCACGAACTCAGGGGGTTTTCGTCAACAGGAAGGCTTTTCCCGCCATTTTTCACATTAAGAACATCGCTGTACACTGGATTAGCGTCTAGCGTCTCTTGACACACCAAACATTTGAATGCACGGTTTTTGCATTTGAATGTGCCATTTTTATTTTTATTTTATTCAACGAATATTCAAAATTCGAGTTTTTGACAGCTCTACTGTATTCCATTTATTATGTTGTGATGTTAAATAAAGCATTAACCCTATAATGCCTGACATTTTACATTATAGTCAGAAGCGATTCACGATTCCCAGTGAATGCTTGAACTCTTATCATGTATATCCAGAATCCAGTTTAAGTTGCATGGAAAAAAGCGTCTGCCAAATGCATAAATGTAAATGTGAAGTGATTTGCCGAACTCGCTGAGCTGGTTTCCACGGGATCCTTACGAAAATTAACCATGGTTTTACTACAAAAAAAAACATGGTTATTATAGTTAAACAATGGTAACTACAACTGAAATATGGTTTTGCTACACTAACCATGGTTAACCATGGTATTTGTTGTAAAACTGTGGTTATACAAATCTTAATCAATCTGCCAATAAACTATGGTTAACACTTGTATAAGGTTAATTTTCATAAGCGATGGTCTGATGGTAGTTTCCATCCTTACACACACACACACACACACACACACACACACACACACACACACACACACCTTTAGCCTCATGAAAGTCGAATGCTCCTCTTGATGGCCGATGAAGGTGACCGTGTCACTAATATGACTTGTTTTCTGTGTGATCTGCTGTTGAAAGTCCAGCACCACAGGCCTCCAGAACACACACAGTTAATTACTCGACGTGCGATCTTTGACGTGCTGTGTGTGTGTTCTTAATGAAAGAGCCTGATGATTATCAAAAGAGCTTTTACCTTCCAATCTCAGCGTCCCTTCGTTTGTATGACGAACTTGTTCACTTTCATAGTTCACACACACTCACACACACACTACACACTGACCTCGGTATCCCATCGCTGCAGTGCATCGGTCGAACGGGAGAAGGAAAGGTCATGAGATTGAGATGGAGTCGTGACTGTTGAACCGATCATCTCTTCCTCTTTACTAGTTACAGCCGCAAATAAACATCAATGAACATCAGAAGATACACTTCCTGAAATCAACCATCTCTCATAATCCATCAGTCAGTGTTTCAACCGTCAATAACACAGCTGGAGAACAATAATGTCACTTTTAACTCAGAAAAGACATTCAATGACCATAAACTCGATAGTCAGCTAGAAAAATAAAACTTTTATAAATATATGCAGTATATTACGTATTTATCATATTTATACTCAACCTGTTTAATGTATGTTTCAATAAATTCATGTGTTTATGACAGCTACCGTTTAAATCTTTATAATTCAAAAAACAAATTGGAGTAGGAACTTAATTATATGATTAAAAAGTCGATATAAAAATGTGCAATTTAAATGTTTTTATGAAACTTTTTATTTGAGAGATGATTATTTAATTAAATTTGATTAATTAATTATTAAAAAAAGTTTATTTTCAGCTGGGTTTCGGCTCATGAAAACTTTTTGATTTTAGTGCATCGCTAGTGAACAGCACTTGTACGCTGTGTTACAGTTTGGGTGAGGAACAGACCGAACTGAATTTGTGTGTGTGTGTGTGTGTGTGTGTGTGTGTGTGTGTGTGTGTGTGTGTGTGTGTGTGTGTGTGTGTGTGTGTGTGTATGTGTGTGTGTGTGTGTGTGTGTGTGTGTTTCCTTGCATGTGCATTCAAAGTCTGTCCAAAAAGAGTGTGTGTCGCTGTATCAGGTGACGCTATTCATTATTTGACTTTAGTGGACATCAGAAGAGCGTCTGAATCCCTCCTGCGCTTACAAACCTTCCCGATCAATCCCACCGGAGCCTCTACAAGCTGCTAATCTGTTGCAAATGGCTAACTAAAGATTTTCTGGTCCTCTGTGTATTACACGCACGTGTTTAGTACCGCACTGACCATATGTCCACACACACAAACACACACACACACATACACACACACACACACACACACACACACACACACACACGCAAGCTGTCGAGGATCTGAGCGGGTCAATACTTCAGGAATGTGCTGGAAGGGTTAAGCAGAATTGAGCGAGCACTTATGATGACGTGTGTGAAGCGTGACCTCTGACCTCTGTGTGTTGTGTCCGCAGGGCTGGAGCGGCGTCTGAGCGGATCTGGTCCTGATGGATCCGGTCCCGATGGATCTGGTCTCGATAGATCTGGTCCCGATAGATCTGGTCTCGATGGATCTGGTCCCGATAGATCTGGTCTCGATGGAACTGGTCGCGATAGATCCGGTCCCGATGGATCCGTTCTCGATGGATCTGGTCCCGATAGATCTGGTCCTGATGGATCCGGTCCCGATGGATCCGTTCTCGATGGATCTGGTCCTGATGGATCTGGTCCCGATGGAACTGGTCGCGATAGATCTGGTCCCGCTGTGGTGCTGGTTCCGGTTGAGGATCTGCCGGGTCGTGTTGTCCTGCTCGTCTCCTGCTGGCTCAGTGTGTAGAGGAGTCAAACCTGCTCAGATCCAGACCTGGAATCAGTGCCGCTCTCATTCACTGCATATCTGTGTTTATTAAAGGGATAGTTCACCTAAAAATGAAAGTTAGCCCATGATTTACTCACCCTCAAGCCATCCTAGGAGTATATGACATTCTTCTCTCAGACGAACACAATCGGAGTTATATTAAAAAATGTCTTTATAATGGCAGTGAATGGCTGTTTCAGTTTTGAAGTCCATAAAAGTGCATCTATCCATCATAAAAGTGCATCTATTCATCATAAAAGTGCATCTATCCATCATAAAAGTGTCTACCATCATAAAAGTGCATCTGTCCATGATAAACGTGCATCTATCCATCATAAAAGTCCATCTATCCATCATAAAAGTGCATCTATCCATGATAAAAGTGCATCTATCCATCATAAAAGTGCATCTACCATCATAAAAGTGCATCTGTCCATCATAAAAGTGCATCTGTCCATCATAAAAGTGCATCTATCCATCATAAAAGTGCATCTGTCCATCATAAAAGTGCATCTATCCATCACAAAAGTGCATCTATCCATCATAAAAGTGCATCTATCCATCATAAAAGTGCATCTATACATCATAAAAGTGCATCTGTCCATCATAAAAGTGCATCTGTCATCATAAAAGTGCATCTATCCATCATAAAAGTGCATCTGTCCATCATAAAAGTGCATCTATCCATCACAAAAGTGCATCTATCCATCATAAAAGTGCATCTATCATCATAAAAGTGCATCTATACATCATAAAAGTGCATCTGTCCATCATAAAAGTGCATCTATCCATCATAAAAGTGCATCTATCCATCACAAAAGTGCATCTATCCATCATAAAAGTGCATCTGTCCATCATAAAAGTGCATCTGTCCATCATAAAAGTGCATCTATCCATCACAAAAGTGCATCTATCCATCATAAAAGTGCATCTATCATCATAAAAGTGCATCTATACATCATAAAAGTGCATCTGTCCATCATAAAAGTGCATCTATCCATCATAAAAGTGCATCTATCCATCACAAAAGTGCATCTATCCATCATAAAAGTGCATCTATCCATCATAAAAGTGCATCTGTCCATCATAAAAGTGCATCTATCCATCACAAAAGTGCATCTGTCCATCATAAAAGTGCATCTATCCATCATAAAAGTGCATCTATCCATCATAAAAGTGCATCTATCCATCATAAAAGTGCATCTATCCATAATAAAAGTGCATCTATCCATAATAAAAGTGCATCTATCCATCATAAAAGTGCATCTATCCATCATAAAAGTGCATCTATCCATCATAAAAGTGCATCTATCCATCATAAAAGTGCATCTGTCCATCATAAAAGTGCATCTATCCATCATAAAAGTGCATCTGTCCATCATAAAAGTGCATCTATCCATCATAAAAGTGCATCTATCCATCATAAAAGTGCATCTATCCATCATAAAAGTGCATCTGTCCATCATAAAAGTGCATCTATCCATCATAAAAGTGCATCTATCCATCTTAAAAGTGCATCTATCCATCATAAAAGTGCATCTGATGGAGCAGGCAGTGCAGGCCCTTCGGGCGGCCATGGCACAGGAACAGACACCGGGACAACGAGTCGGTGTTTCCCGAAGCTATAGTTCTGACGAACATCCGCAAACAGCATCGCAGAGTTGTGTGTTTGAGCGACAGATCTCGACCTGTGGTTAGAAGAAGAGTTTCATAAAAGTGCATCTGTCCATCATAAAAGTGTATCTGTCCATCATAAAAGTGCATCTGTCCATAATAAAAGTGCATCTATCCATCATAAAAGTACATCTGTCCATCAAAAAAGTACATCTGTCCATCAAAAAAGTGTCTACCATCATAAAAGTGCATCTATCCATATTAAAATGCATCTGTCCATCAAAAAAGTGTCCACCATCATAAAAGTGCATCTGTCCATGATAAAAGTGCATCTATCCATCATAAAAGTGCATCTATCCATCATAAAAGTGCATCTGTCCATCATAAAAGTGCATCTGTCCATCATAAAAGTGCATCTGTCCATCATAAAAGTGCATCTATCCATCATAAAAGTACATCTGTCCATCATAAAAGTGTATCTATCCATAATAAAAGTGCATCTATCCATCATAAAAGTGCATCTATCCATCATAAAAGTGCATCTATCCATCATAAAAGTGCATCTATCCATCATAAAAGTGCATCTATCCATCATAAAAGTACATCTGTCCATCATAAAAGTGTATCTATCCATAATAAAAGTGCATCTATCCATCATAAAAGTGCATCTATCCATCATAAAAGTACAGCTGTCCATCATAAAAGTGTATCTATCCATAATAAAAGTGCATCTATCCATCATAAAAGTGTATCTATCCATAATAAAAGTGCATCTATCCATCATAAAAGTGCATCTGTCCATCATAAAAGTGTATCTATCCATAATAAAAGTGCATCTATCCATCATAAAAGTACATCTGTCCATCATAAAAGTGCATCTATCCATCATAAAAGTGCATCTATCCATCATAAAAGTGTCTACCATCATAAAAGTGCATCTATCCATCATAAAAGTGTATCTATCCATCATAAAAGTACATCTGTCCATCATAAAAGTGTCTACCATCATAAAAGTGTATCTGTCCATCATAAAAGTGCATCTATCCATCATAAAAGTGTATCTGTCCATCATAAGTGCATCTATCCATCATAAAAGTGTATCTGTCCATCATAAAAGTGCATCTATCCATAAAAAAGTGTCTACCATCATAAAAGTGCATCTATCCATAATAAAAGTGCATCTATCCATCATAAAAGTACATCTGTCCATCAAAAAAGTGTCTACCATCATAAAAGTGCATCTATCCATCATAAAAGTGTATCTATCCATAATAAAAGTGCATCTATCCATAATAAAAGTACATCTGTCCATGATAAACGTGCATCTATACATCATAAAAGTGCATCTGTCCATCATAAAAGTGCATCTGTCCATCATAAAAATGCATCTATCCATCATAAAAGTGCATCTATCCATCATAAAAGTGCATCTGTCCATCATAAAAGTGCATCTGTCCATCATAAAAGTGCATCTGTCCATCATAAAAGTGCATCTGTCCATCATAAAAGTGCATCTATCCATCATAAAAGTGCATCTGTCCATCATAAAAGTGCATCTATCCATCATAAAAGTGCATCTATCCATCATAAAAGTGCATCTGTCCATCATAAAAGTGCATCTATCCATCATAAAAGTGCATCTGTCCATCATAAAAGTGCATCTGTCCATCATAAAAGTGCATCTGTCCATCATAAAAGTGCATCTATCCATCATAAAAGTGCATCTGTCCATCATAAAAGTGCATCTGTCCATCATAAAAGTGCATCTGTCCATCATAAAAGTGCATCTGTCCATCATAAAAGTGCATCTATCCATCATAAAAGTCCATCTATCCATCATAAAAGTGCATCTATCCATCATAAAAGTGCATCTGTCCATCATAAAAGTGCATCTGTCCATCATAAAAGTGCATCTGTCCATCATAAAAGTGCATCTATCCATCATAAAAGTCCATCTATCCATCATAAAAGTGCATCTATCCATCATAAAAGTGCATCTGTCCATCATAAAAGTGCATCTATCCATCATAAAAGTCCATCTATCCATCATAAAAGTGCATCTGTCCATCATAAAAGTGCATCTGTCCATCATAAAAGTGCATCTGTCCATCATAAAAATGCATCTCTCCATCATAAAAGTGCATCTATCCATCATAAAAGTGCATCTGTCCATCATAAAAGTGCATCTGTCCATCATAAAAGTGCATCTGTCCATCATAAAAGTGCATCTGTCCATCATAAAAGTGCATCTCTCCATCATAAAAGTGCATCTATCCATCATAAAAGTGCATCTGTCCATCATAAAAGTGCATCTGTCCATCATAAAAGTGCATCTATCCATCATAAAAGTGCATCTGTCCATCATAAAAGTGCATCTGTCCATCATAAAAGTGCATCTATCCATAATAAAAGTACATCTGTCCATGATAAACGTGCATCTATCCATCATAAAAGTGCATCTGTCGGTAACACTTTATTTTACGACCTGCAAACAACTGCGTAAGTAAACCGAAATTACGGTGTACATTTCTGTAATTATAGTGTATTTCCGTGTAGGTATAAGGGAACAATATGTTAAGTTTTGCGTAATAAAGGGGTAACAAGCAGATATACAAGCAAATTATTTATAATGTAATTATTTTAAAACTAACAGGTTCCTATTCTGTTAATATATTCCAGGTAAAAATTGTACGTCTGTTGTATATAAAAGTTATCATCACATTTCTGGCAAAATATGTTCTTGTGCAATGTTACAGGGTAATTGTGTCATCTGTGGGTTGAAAATTAAACATATATATATATATATATATATATATATATATATATATATGGCTGTATGTAAGCACAGTATGATAAAAATTTAATTTATTGTCTTTTCTTACTAGATTACTTAATGTTAAGTCAAAAAAAAAAGTTTCTGCTATGATTTTAATTTAGACCGTGTAGTACTTAGTACTTACTTTATCACATTGTATTGCAATGACACTTAAATGTCAGGGCAAATATACTGTGTAATTGAAACGTTTTTTTTTTTTTTTTTTTCTAATAAGAGTACCTTTCTCTGTAATTACTGTGCGAATAGTGTTGTTTCGTATTGTTACATAGTAAGTAGTGTTTGTTATCCGTTTCAACTGTGTATTTTACAGGGTAAGTCTAACTCCTGCGGGCTGTAAATTAAAGTGGCGCTTGTTACCTCCTTGTTCTGTGTAGTTACAGGGTATAGTACAACATTAAACCAGTATGCTGAAACAGACAAACCTAGCTTCACCATTAGCATTATCAACAAATTTCTAAATTAGTACTTGTAAAAGTACAGTAGCACAATTAAACCAAAACCATTTATTAAAACAAGTTTAACAATAAACAATCACAATGTTGAAATTACATCAACACAAACTGTAAACAGAACAGAAATAATCTTGAAATCACACTGTACATATTTTGCCAGAAATGTGATGATAACTTTTATATACAACAGACGTACAATTTTTGCCTGGAATATATTAACAGAATGGGTACCTGTTAGTTTTAAAATAATTACATTATAAATAATTTGCAGGTTGTATATC